AATTTCATAGGGGGAAAATCCCTCCAAAATATAGGATTCATAGTGAAATAATAAAAGGAAAAAGACTATGATCTCTTCCAAAGCCAGGACCCAAACTCAAAATCAGTAATCCCTGGGCCACGACCGGGGTGTCGGCAGAGCAACGCTCTATCTGGAGGATGTAGGGAAGAATTCTGTGCTTGCCTTTTCTAGAGCTGTATTCTCTAGTTCCCAGCCCCTTTCTCCATTTTTAAAGCCAGCCACATGCACCTTCAAATCTCCCTCTGCTTCCCTCTTCAAAGACACTTGTGATTACAATTTAGGGCTCCCTCAGATAATCCAGGTAATCTCTCTTCCTCTCAAAACCCTTAACTTCATCACATATACAAAGTTTATTTTGCCATATAAGGTGACATCTGAAAATCTGAAGGATTGGGATCTGGGGGTGGGGGGGCATTGTTCAGCCTATCAGTATCAAAGTATCTCCCCAGAATACTGAGTAAAACACAAAAATACAAATAATAAGTTTTAAATATATATAAATAAAAATAATAAGTTTACAGTGACAAACTCTGACAGACATCACTTTAACCAGATGATCAAGATTCGCATCATTACTAATACAAATCAATGTTATATACCAAGATTAACATTGTTAGTAATGCATATCGACATCATGTAATCCCTTAAAAGGACACGACATTATTTCTTTGCTACTCCTTCCAAAAATGCATAAGCTCATTCTAATCATACAAAAATATTAGACAAATACCACATGATCTCACTTATTTGTGGAATATAATGAACAAGGTGGGCTGATGAACAAAATAGACCGAAAGACATAGAAAGGAGTATGGTTCAGACTGACAAACCTCAGGGTAAGGGGGCGGATGAATGAGATGAACCAAGGAACTTATATGCATGTGTGCATAACCAATGGACATAGACAACGATGCTAGGGGGGTGGGGAGGGCAGGATGGGGAGGAGGGGATCTAGTGGGGGAAAAAGGAGAAACATCTGTAACAAAAATAAATTAATAAAAAATTAGACAAAAATTAGACAAACCCAATAATAAAAAAATTAGACAAACCCAAAGTTACAAATATTCTAAAAAATATCTAACCAATGCTCTTCGAAAGGGTCAAGGTCATGGAAGATAATGAAAGATTGAGGAACTATCACAGAGGGAAGATAAGGAAACGTGGTGACTAAATGAAATGTGGAATCCTGCACTGGATTCTGGGACAGAAATAGAACATCAGTGAAAAACTGATGAAATCCAAATTAATTCTATAGCTTAGTTAGTAATATTGTACTGATGTTAAATTCTTAGTTTTGGTAAGAGTTCTGTGGTTACTTAAGATGTAAGCACAAGTGAAGCTGGGTAAAAGCTATATGGGAACTCTACTATTTCTGCAATCTTGAGTCTAAAATTATCTGAAAACAAAAACCTTGAAAGAGAGTGAAAGAACAAGGGAGGGAGAAAGGGAAGGGATAAGTAGTTTGTTCAGGATCTTTGAGCACCCCTTGCTAGGGGTACTTATATCAACAGGGTGAACTTCAGGGAAGTTCTGGCAAGCTAGATGGACTTCTTTTTGTTGTTGTTGTTTGTTTTTAACAGTAGTTTATTTTTAAAAAGAAGACAATAGTGTGCCAGAATCTTATCATTATAAAGTAACTTTTGTTGTTAAATGGAAAAAAGGCCTTAAATCAAATTTAATTTATAGTTTCTCTTTGTAAAGCAGAACATTCAGAACAGAAGAAACTTTGAACTCTGTTGTCGAACAAACATGTATCTATTACCTTTCATATGTTTCTCATAATCTTTTTAACCATCCCAGACAATTGTCAAAACTATTTATATTTAAACAGGCTTTTGCTTCCTCCTAGCTTGAGTTCTTCATCTATATGATCCTAACATAAAATGTCGAATTTGTGACATCAAAATCCGATCAAGGGCAACCATTTTTTATGTGGTCAGTTTTGACTCTAGTGTCACTCTAAGAATGGAGAAAAATTGAAGGTAAAGATGTTTGTGTAAATTATTCAGAATAAAAGTTATCCTCATAGCAATAGAAATAATAGCTAACAGCTCCTTCTTTATTATAGTCTTCAGTTTCTACATGCATAAAAGTAATTAGCACCATCACTTTTTTTAAGATCATATTCCTAACCAAACGCAAATATATGCAACTTGTATGAAAATCACCATACAACCACCACCATGCAGTGGCCCCATTTAATCTTATTAAATATTAATGGTTGTGGGAGACAGTGAGAGGCCAGAAAGGAGGCGAGTTGGTCACATCTTCCAGGGCTCTGAACCACATTTTTGGCATCCAGTCAACACCAGCGTCAGGCTGATGAAATGAAACCAGCACTCCCCGGGACTCTCCGATACAATGTCATATCTGCCACTCGCCAGGGGTTACTGCCTTCTGACCCCATTGTCAACGGAAGTCTGAGTGAGGCTCACATCCAAAAAGAAGGCGGTGCTGATGGCAGCAGGAGAGGGGAAAGTTCAGGCAGCGTCTAGATGGACTTCTTTAATATTACAGAGGGATGAGCAAAAGTAGGTTTACAGTTGTGAGTATGCGAAACACATAGTTTATTCTTGTATTATTATTTATTAATTATTATACTATTTATTTGTGTTATCTGTCTTCCTCGTATTATAATTATTGCTATTATTTCATATCCTTGCTTATGATTTATCTTTTAGGTAATGACGGTTGGTAACTTAACCTACTTTTGTCCAGCCCTGCACAGCAACTGCCCTTTCCTTCCCACTGTGTACAGTACCTACTCCAAGGCGGTTTTCTTAACGCCGGGCTCTTCTGCTCCTACTGACTCATGGTTGCTTTCTTCCTCTAAAAATCCAAAGCCTCACTGGTTGCTGAATCTGCCTTCTCTCTAAACACAACTGTACACTGTAAACCTGCAACCACTTTCTGGCTGAAACTCAAGATCTGTCAGGTGCAAGTAAACCATCCAAAGCTCTTCACACTGACCATCTCACTGGACGCCCACAGACAACACGAGGAAGGCAGGCAGACCACAGGGTCTGTGGGAGGGGACAGATGCAGTGGTGGGGTAGGCCTCTGGAGGCATCAAAGATGAGGAGTGTGAGGGGCACAGTACTTCTGGGGGATTGTGGGTCGGGTAATAAAAGTTAAGTAATCGCCATTAATTATGTTTCACATGTGTATCTTCTACAATTCGTAACTCACTGGGTTCAAGTAAATCAAATACAGCTCTTCATTGGGAAAAGACTGGGATTTCTTGGGGCACGTAGGACTGGGACCAGAGGTACAGACTGGCAGTGTTCTGCCTGCGTCTGGGGCACAAGTTTTATTTACCCCACACAGTATTTTAAAAGTTCTGAATTGGATGTCAATGTTTTGAAATCTGGAGATACCACATTTTAAAATTCTGGTTTTCCATGGAAAAAAAATCTATAGATCTGGTCAAACTGGGTCTACATTTCTGCATGGCAACAATGCAGCAAGAACTGAGAAGAAGCTGCCCCTTCAGACGGTCTCTGCTCTTCGGTTCCTTTCCCACCGTTCACACAAGGCATGAACATGGCAACACCCACCCTGCTGGATTCAAGTGCATTGTATACCTAGTCCCTGTAGCCTTAGAGTTTGCAATACCTGCCCTGTGTGATACTACACATTTAGCTGCTTTCAACAGCTAAAAGGACATTGCTTCCACCTGTACTTGATCTTAACCAAAAGGCCAAGAAGCAATTGCCTGTTATTTACAAAAGCCTAATAATGTTCATCCTTTCTTTATACTAAGTCACTACAGCTTATTATACCTACTCTTCAAGAACATAACACATACATTTACTCTTCTGAACATCATTCTTTTATTTTTAACACTATCCTAACCACCTGGAAGGTTTGTTGAAATACAGATTACTGTGCCCACCCGTTTCTGAAATCTGAGGCAGGACCAGAGAATTTGCAGTTCTAGCAAGTCCCTTGGTAATGCTGATGCTGCCAGTCCAGAGACTACACTTTGAGAACAACTTCCTTTCACTAACCCAGACTTTTTTATTTAAAACATCTCTATGATTATGCTAAGCGAATAAGCCAATCAGAGAAAGACAAATACCACATGATCTCATATTTGTGGAATATAATACACAGAAAAAGCTGATGAACAAAACAGACACAGAGACATAGAAAGGAGTATGGTTCAGACAAACCTCAGCGGAGAAGGGCAGTCGGGGGGTGATGAGATAAACCAGAGAGTTTATATGCATGTATGCATGCCTAATGGACTTAGACAACAATGCTTGGCAGGGGGCGGGATGGGGAAGAGGGTGTCTATGGGGAAAAAGGAGAAACATCTGTAACACAAATAAAAATAAAATTTCTATGACAATTTTACACTCATTTCTTGAATATATCTAGGGCAGTGACATCCAACAGCACTTTCTGCAATGACATATACATTCTTTACAAAATACTATCTAACGTGATAGCCACTAGCCACATGTGGCTATTGAGCATTTATGATTCAAGTATTGAATTTTTGAAAGAACTAATGGACACAGACAACAGTGTGGTGAGTGTGGCGAGGAGGGTGGTAGGTGGAGGTAGGAGAGGGTATAGGAGGAATAAATGGTGGTGGAAAAAATAAAATTAAATAAAAATTAAATTTAAATAGTTTTTAATTTAATTTAATTAATTTAAATTTAAATCGTCACATGTGGCTAATACCTACCATAATGGACATAATAGTTCTGAAGGCTCCTGAGGAGCCAAAGAGAGAAGGGAGTGAGGGAAAAAGACAATATTTACATGAGCATAAACAGCAAAAGCCAAGATTATGCACATAAGGTCTAACTGATTTATTTTAATTTAACAGCTCTTTCAGTATTTTCAATTGTCTCAGAAGTAACCATGTCACATTAAAGGGGGAAAAAGTGTTTTGTAACATCAGTGAAACTACAGAGCCTCAACCCACTTAGCAAGAAAAACAAGTCATGGAGCTCATTTCTTTTTACCTTTTATTGTCCTGGGGATTACAGTCACCCAATCAGGTCCACTGGAGTTGATGGGCATTTTGATATTGACACCACTTTAGGAGGAATAAAAAGAGTACAGACTTAGATTCAGGAATACTTACTTTCCAATATGTATCTTTACTTACAAATAAAAATGAATATGATTTCACAGAGCCTCATAAAAATGAAATATTCTCACAAATATTAATCATTAATAACTAGGTCTCTTGAAATAAGCAGGTCATATAATCTGAATAGAAATTAAATACATTAATTTTTCACTGCTTAGCTCTTAACCCAAACTCCCAAATTGACGAATTCCGATTTGAATTGCTTACTCCCTTGGACTTGGAGAACGGCTCACACTGATGAGAGTATCTGTTTAGTCACTACCCAGTTTTCAGGCTGCAAGTCTATGCAGCATTAAGCCATGGGTGTCAGATTCCTCAGGCCTTGCCCAGAACTGGGATGAGTCCACCTGCAGGCACTGGACCCAGACGAGTGTTCATGCAGGACTTTGTTCATCATCGCTGTGGCTCTTTAGAGTCTGTTCCCCTTACTAAATTATAAACTCCTGGAAGACTCGGATTGTGTCTCCTTCACCCTTCGTCTTCACTGCTTACTATTACCAGCACAGGTCTTGAACTAGAGTCTGGGCTTGGAAAATCTTTGATAGAGGGCTGTGTGAAAAGTGGGAAAGACTGAAGCCCAAGAGAAAAATAACGAAAACCTGGTAAACTACTCCAGAAACTGGGTCACAATAATTAGGCCTCTGAGATTTAGACTAAAAACAAATAAAAAAATAAAATGTTAACTTTCCAAACTCTTTTTTTGTTGTTATTGTTAATCCTCACCTGAGGATATTTTTTCCATTGATTTTTAGAGACAATGAAAGGGAGGGAGGGAGGGAGGGAAACATGGATGTGAGAGAGACACATCAACTGTTGTCTCCTGCATGTACCCTGACCAGTGCCAGGGATCAAACCTGTAACCAGGTACTGCCCTTGACTAGGAATCGAACCCGTGACCCTTCTGTGTTTGGGCCGACACTCTAACCACTCAGGCACACCAGCCAAGGCTAACTTTCCAAACTCTTGATATGAGAACTTGCAGCCATGCTTTTTTGTTTCATCAAAAGTCAATTCAAACGAGATCTCTGCTTAAATAATTCTTTTGTTTGTTTGTTGTTTTAGTTTTTTATCCTCACCCAAGGACATTTTTGCATTTATCTTCAGATAGAGCAGAAGGGAGGAAGAGAGAGAGAAACATCCATGTGAGAGAGACACACCGAGTAGTTGTCACCCACACGACCCCAACTGGGGCTGGGGACACACTGTAACCAAGGTATGTGCCCTTAGTGGGAACCAAATCCAGGACTCTCCAGTCCGTGGGCTGATGCTCTAACCATTGAGCCAAACCAGCCAGGGCTCTGCTTAAGTAATTCTTAAACTTTACTGTGTGCCAGGCACTTCTAGATGCCAGGGATATAACAGGAGACAAAATGCCACAGCATCTCCTCCTTTATGGAAATGACATTATAACTGGGGAGATAAAATAACAATTAAGGAAGGAAGTATAGGGGGGCTACATTAGAGAACAATAAAATTTCATAGCTTAAATAAATGACATTTAAGAGAGTACACGACTTTGAAAAGGGCACATGTCAACTGCTTTCCTGAGTTCACAACTTTAAGGTAAGGAAATTTAAAAAAAAACCTCAGTGATTTTCCTATAAAAATGCTCAACTTCACTCTAGTCATGCAGAAACAATAAAGCAGCCAATCCAAATTCAAAGACATTCTACAAAATAGTGACATCAAAATTCTTAACACTGTAAGAAACAAATAAGCTAGAGACCTCTTCTGGATTAAAGGAGATTAAAGAGATAACTAAACACATTGTGTGTGAACACTGACTCAGTTAAGAAAGAAACAGGTAACTATAAAGATATTACTGGGACAACTGCAGAAACTTGAATATGAACTACATATTAAATAATAATATTGTATCAATGATAAACATCTAAAGCATGGCAATTGTGTTATGGTTACAAGTTGGACAAAATCCATGTTCCTGGGAGATACATAGTCATGGATTCACTGTTATAATGTCTCCAACTTACTCTCAAATGGTCTGGGGGCCAGGGTGAGAAATTATACACAGACGCATACATATAAACAAACACACAGAGAGAAAGAGAGATAGCAAATGTAGCAAAACATTAACAATGGTGAATCTAAGTTAAAGATATATGGGTGTTCATTGTTATTATTTGTGCAGTTTCTAAAGATCTGAAGTCTTTTTAATACACAGTTAGAAAGAAAAGTATGCATTGTGCTAAAATAAAGGGAAGCTTTTTATGTGATAATCTCATTCTTTCAAAAAGTCTTCTCTTGTATTAATAGGATCTTCTAAGCAAAGTACTGTTGTTCTTTCTAAACCAACACTTTTCTCCCTTAAAAGTAAAAAAACAAACATTAGAACATCTTATTTATCTATCATTTAGCGACCCAAAGACCAAGACTAAGTTTCTTAATCCTTTCTGAATTAAGCACATTATGAGCCACCGAGAAAATAAATAAAAATCGGTATCAGCTATACATATTCATATTCAGGCCATAAACTCAAAACAGTATACCAAAGATCTTTCAAATGATCAATTTTAATCTTTCTCTTTTTCTTTTCAGTTAGCCTGGAGCAACATTTCAGATTTAAACAGAGCAAAAATGCAAAAAATAGAATTGATATCAGAACTCTGTCAAATGTTTGGTTTCCAAAAGCGTATGCCACCTCAAACACTGTTTGCCAGCAAACGTCCAGGTAAGTGGAATTTCTTAATGATTCTACTACAGAGTGCCATCAGCCAGCTTCATCCAGGATATGCAAGGAAGGGCATGGACAGACATGATTTTAGTCTTCAGGATTCAGAGGTGATTTTTTGGTTTCAGTGGTAGGATTGGTGTTAGATATATTTTAAATTCTACACTAATTTCATTCTCTAACCTTTCTCCCACTTGGATTTTGAGTAAGTTACAAGCTATACTTCCTCCTCTTTGCTGGCCACTAAGTAGACTGACAACACAACTAATAACTGAACAGTCTTCATACATAGACCAAAAATACACAGAAATAAAATAATTTGCTCATAATCATCAAGAAAAAGCATGTCTGCCCAGCTGGTGTGACTCAGTTGGTTGAGCATCGTCCCATGCACCAAGAGGTCACTGGTTCTGTTCCCAGTCAGGGCACATGCCCAGGTTGCGTTTTGGGGCTTGAGCTCCAGTAGGGGGTATGCAGGACGCAGCCAATCAATGTTTCTCTTCCTCTCCCTTCCTTTCTCTCTAAAATCAATAAAAACATATTTTTAAAAAAGAAATGGCATGTCTGAGATCAAACACAGGATTAAAACTAAAGCTAAAGTCTTTTAGCAGTAATCCATACAAAAAACTAGACAGTCTTCTCAGAGACAGAACAGTAAATACACTGAGTAGTGCTCCTTCTGCTGGCCTTCTAAAAGCATGGCATGAGGCCTGGCTGGTTTGGCTCAGCAACGGTTAGAGCATCCGCCCATGGACCAAAGAGATGCACATTTGATTCGAGTCAAGGGCACATACCTGGGTTGCAGTTTGGAAGATAAATGGCAAAAAAATATCCTCAGGTGAAGATTTAAAAATAAATAAATAAAACAGAAGCATGGCATGAGTCCATCAAGTGGGTAGGTGAAAGTTGGGAGCAGAACTGACTCTAGAATCTCCTATAGACCATATACCTTATGGTAGGAAAGTTTACCCCACCAAGTAATGACTGGACATAAAATAAAATTTTTCAGGGTGCCAAGATGTACTCAACAAAAATACTTCTCTACCAAGGAATATTTAAAAAGTATATATTTCAGTCCCACCAGTGTGGCTCAGCGGTTGAGCATCAACCAATGCACCAAAAGGTTGCTGGTTTGATTCCCAGTCAGGCACATGCCCAGGTTGTGGGCTCGATCCCCAGTGGCGGGCATGCAGGAGGCAGCCATCAATGTTCTCTCTCATTGATGTTTCTTTCTCTCCCTCTCTCTCTCTCTCTTCTCTAAAATCAATAAATTTAAAAAAAAATGTTTTTAAAGTGTATATTTCATTTAAAATTTTTTTTAATTTTACATTCTTTCAAATAATTGTACTTTTGACCATGTAGCTTTTATAACTTTATATATCTTAGAAATAATATTTTACTTCAGAACTATATGAAATGTTGAGGAGAACAGAAAGTTTAAGTCATACTGAAGTGCATTCCATTCTGCACATTAGTACATATATTGGTTATTATATTGAAAAGTTTTATACTTATGTTCAAGAATATAAAACTTTTAACTTAAAACATACAGTTTTCTGTGGTATTTCCTGGCTTCCCAAGTTTATCATTAAATTAATCCAGAAATGTTGCTATGTCCATAGTCTTTTTCCTCTCAATAAATGTTTATATGATTTTAACAACTGATATATCACTTAAAATCATTTAGCTTAGGCTTGGCCAGGTAGTTCAGTTGGTTGGAGCACTGTCCCATACACCAAAAGACTGCGGGTTTGATTCCCAGTCAGGGCACATGCCCAGGATGCAGGCTCAATCCCCGGCTGGGCATGTGCAGGAGGCAATCCATTGATGTTTCTCTCTCTCTCTTTCCGCTTTCCTCTTTCTAAAGCTCAATTAAAAACAAAACAAAACATATCCTCATGTGAGGATTTTTTTTTTAAGTTTTTTAAAAAGCTATTTTAGTTTATTAGACATGAAGCTAAAACACTGGCCTGCCTACAAGACCTCTTACCAGCCTGTTCTTGTATGGTTTGTATCTGTTCTGTGAATTAATGATCCTGCTTATACAGCCATAGATGTGCTAAACAGTTCTGAAATAAAACACAAATTTAAGGGTAAAAGAATGAAAATTCAATGGTAATAGGTCTTTAATTCGAACTAAAGTAAGCACTAAACTTCACTTTTAAAAAACTAATCACAAAACATAAATCTGTATTTATTTTCTTATTCACCACCTCTCCTGAATTGGGCTAGTTTGGAGAGCTGTAAGTAGCACATCATCAAAACAAGAAAGCCTCCTAACTGGGACAAAGACAGTGGAAAGGGGCTCTTAAATCGCCCCCAAGAATAAGGAGCATTACCTCTGGAAGAAAGCACTCTCTGCGGCAGTTAGGAGGCCCTTCAGGTATCCACCTTTGAAATGGTTAATTCTGCTGCTGCAAGGGAGCTTCTTTGGTTTGAAGCAGAACCAGGGTTCTCCAGTGTACAGATCTGTGAAATTACACAGGGGCAGATTCCTAGGAAGACACACGTTGCACTCAGTAGTTTCAGAAATTCTTCCCGAACGAAAGAGACTCTTGAAATAAACCCTGTCTGGTTTTTCTTCCTGTAGGTGCTGAAGAACTCTGATCCCTTCGCTGGGGTGGACCAGAGATACAGACACTTGAACTCTGCCTGGCCAGAGCAAAGTAAAAAAGACCTTGTAAAACCCATTCTGGTAGTCTACCACTCTGCCAACAGCCCCTGCCTGCAGCTTAGGGGAGTGAATCCGGGCCTGCAGGTAGTCTCCACCATACTTCTTGGGCTTTCTTTGAAAATTCTGTATATGAACCAACACCTCTAGCTGGCTTCCCACCTTGAAGAAGGCCGCAGAGTTCAAGATGACAAAGTAGCTGGAAGAAGGGTCACTGCTCTGCAAAAATGGGACAGGGCCCACGTCAGGCATCTGCCACTGTAAGGCAGTCAGTAAGGAGTCCTCCTCCACGCGCTCCTGGCTGGACAGAGTCTGGTGTTCATAGCCGCAGTAAGGGTTCCGGCTAGTTCCTACCACCTGAGACAAGACGGACTGTCCACTGCTGTCGATGAATGTGGCTGAGACAGTCTCACGGTCCAAGTACTGAAGAGAGAAGCACAAAATCAGAAGCCACACCTACAATAAATTTCCTTATATTCAACCAACTAAATCTCTACTTTAGTTTAAATTTTAATATAACTCCTTGGGATGACACTGTTTCAAAAACCAAAGTTCAACTAACTAGTTTTACAGGGCTATGTTATTGTAACACAGTGAAATCAAAATGAGGAATAGTCATAAAGGGATCCCACACTTTTGTTAGATTTACCTTCAGGAGCTCAATCAGGTTCCTACAGTAAATATTAGAGAACCCCCCACCCCCACCCCATCCTGTGCTTCCAGTAGAAGGGTAAAGGGATCATCCTGAAATGTAACAGAGCATTCTGTTCTTAACAAGACCTGACCTCAAGAGATACTATTTTACCAGAGCCTAACCTCTTGGGGTTTTATCAGAGCCTAACCAAACTGGGATAAGGGACATACCCAACCCCAGACCATTCTAACCATTCTGTCCAACTTAGGAGATAGGGAGAGGACTAAGAAGCAAGCACTCCTGAGGTTCACAGCCCAGGAGCACAGGTTCACTAACCGACTGAGACTTAATCACAGGACTATAAAACGCTTCGCCTCCCCCACCCCTTACCACCACACCACCAGAAGCCTACTGATTGGAGTTTCTTTTACCCAGTACATCATGTCCAACTTTCAACAAAAAATTACACACGAAAGGGCCAAAAACAGTTTGAAAACATGGATCAAGCATCAGAAATAGATTCAGATATAGAAGGGATGTTGGAATAATTAGATCAGGACTTTAAAGCAACTATGATTAATATGCTAAGGGCTCTAATGGAAAAAGAAAACAACATGCGAAACAGATGGGCAATGTAATAAGAGAGATGGAAATTCCAAGAAAGAGTAAAAAAAGAAATGCTAGACAGAGCAGAGAGGATCTTCAGGGCAGGAAAAATACTCTATATGACATTATAATGATGGGCACATCATCATTTGTCCAAACCCACAGAATGTATAACACCAAGAGTGAATTCTAAGGTAAACAACAGACTTTGGGTGATTATGAATCAATGTAGATTCATTCTTAGTAAAAAATGATGATGATAATGGAAGAGGCCATGAAAGTATGGGGGCAGAGAGCACATGGGAAATATCTGCAATCTTTCTGTAGTGTAAACCCTGGCAGCTGGTTTTTCTTTTTTGTAGTGCAAGTGTCTGACTTCAACTCTGATTGCCCAGGCATTTCAAAGAGGCATCCATGGCAAAGACAGTTATCATACACACACACACACACACACACACACACACACACTGAAAATTGTTGCATAATCTTTTTAGTACCTAATTCAGGAAACTGCTGAGTTAAATTGCAAGGGGGTAAAAGAGATAAAACAAACACAAATAGTAACAAAGCAAAACCAAAAATTACTCTTCTCAACAGCAAATACTACCTGTTACAAATCACTTAAATAAGGTCCCGGCTCCCCATCTATACCAAACCACTTCAAAATACTATACAAGATAAAAAATAATCCCATACAAGGTAAAATTACTCCCAAAATACAAGAGACTTTTTAATGATCTTCTCAGAATCTGTATTGTTTTAACTCTCATTTTCTTCCACAAAATTTTACTTATAAAATTCAAAATATTTTTAAAATACAGGTCAAATAGTGAGAAGAATGTAATTCTTTTGGGGGCAATACATCAAATCTAATGTCCGCTTTCTATTGCAAATGTTCATCTTTATAAACCATTCTTACCTCTTGGGCTATACCAAAACAGGTGATGAGCCAGATTTTACACATACATGTAGATATTTTCTACTGAAAGGATTTCATTACTTCATGCAAATGGGAGTGAAAAAAATTCAGACAAAACAGACTTTAAAAAAAGGCTATAATAAGAGACAAAGGACATTTTATAATGATGCAGGGATCAATCCAACAAAAAGATATAACCCTTGTAAACATTTATGTAAGGACTCAACACAGGAGCACCTAGATACATAAATTATACATTGATGGACAGTAATACAGTCACAGTAGGGGACTGTAATACCCCCTTGCCATCAATGGATAGATCTTCCAGACAGAAAATAAATAAGGATACAGTGGCCTTAAATTACACATTAGATCAGATGAACTTAGTTCATATTTTCAGAGCATTCCATTCCAAAGCAACAGAATAGACATTCTTTTCAAGTGCAAGATAGATCATATGTTAGACCACAAAACAAGTCTCAATAAATTTCAAAAGAACGAAAGCATACCAAGCACTTCCTCCAACCACAATAGTATAAAACTAGAAATTAGTTACAAGAAGAAACCCAAATAACACACAAAGACATGGAGGCTAAATAACATGCTACTAAACAATGACTGGGTTAGCAATAAGATCAAAGAAGAAATCAAAAGATACCTTGAGACAAATTAAAATACAAACAAAACAATCCAAAATCTACGAGACACAGCTAAGCAATCCTAGGGGAAAAATTCATGGCAATAAAGGCCTATCTCAAGAAACAAGAAAAATTTCAAATACATAATCTAGCGTTACACCTAAAGGAACTAGAAAAGGAACAGCAAAGCAAGTCCAAAGTGATTAGAAGGAAGGAAATAATAAAGATTAGAGTAGAAATTAAAGTCTAAAAAATACCAAGGATCAACAAAACTAAGAGCTGGTCAAACAGAGGAAAGGTTTTGGGGATCTCACAGGTGGATTGCCCTCTAAGTTAGATATTTCAGAAGGCATGGGTTGGGCATTCTGGCACGAAGAGTAAAAGGAGCAAGTGCCCCTTGGCTTCTGGTCCCAGTGATAAGGAGTAGAGATCAGATATATCTCCATACAACAGCCAGTTACAGTAAGAACATCCCTCCCAATCCAGGGGTAGAGAGAAGGATTATCTACAAAACCCACTTCAGCTGTTGCCCGAGCCTCTACCTAGTAGAAATGGCATGCATATTGCAACAGCACAGTGCTCTCTCCACAAGTCCCTTGGGCAATGAGTTACATGCCATTCTGGGGCCAATGTACTACAAGACCACTTCAGCCCCTATTGTAGAGCCCCCACAAGAGATGCCCCCATCAATAAAAGATCCATTCCTCATCCCCCAAAAAGTGTTATTTTAAAAACACAGCTACATGCCCTTTTGCAATCCTCCACCTTGCATAAGTGGGCAAAAGTCATTGCCAAGGCCACTAGGAAAATAAATTTGGCCAATGTCAGCATGGGGTTGTCTCCCTACCAATGCTTGGGAACTGCTACATGAGATGTTTCACCGACCACATCTGTTAGAAAGCTATGGCCTGATGTCTTAATGCCAGAGCTGAAAAGGGGCCAATGTCCACTACTGTTCAGAGCTCCTTGAGACATCAAACCAGACATCGAATGGGGCTGGATAGTTCCCTCAGGCTGGATACAATATTTCCTGCCAGAATGTCCGGCCAGCTAAAGCGGTCCCCATTGATCCTGTTGGAATCTGAGCCTAGATGCTGTGTATGAGTACAAAGGACAAAAGCTGACACTAAAGGGCCCTGTAATGGGCTGTTCTGAAATGATTCTTGAAAGAGCATTTTCTTGCTGAACTAAGAAACTGGGCAAAGGAGGAAAGGGATTTTGCAAAATAAAATGACTTTACATATTCTCACTGCAGCACAACGCAAGACCTGTGTGCTCATTAAACAAGAATGTACTTATATTCTTTCTTATGAATCTGAATGACTGACCTCTTACCCCATATGAAAAATATATAGTAAGGCTGATATTTCCTTCGCTGACTCCTTTAGTCGCTGGCTTTCTTCTCTCCCTGGGAAATGGGATTTGGCTACTTTGGGGATCCTCGCATGCCCAGCAGGCTTACTCTGTTTCCGCTGCTGGTTGTACTGCTCTGTGGTATAGGCATGAATGGCATTCCCGATATCTGGCCCTAGGGACTTCTCGGAAGATGGGCAGATGAGCTGGTAGAGGCCACAAAGATGTCAGAGGTTGAGTGTATAGATGTTGATGTGAACAAAACCAACTGCATCTGTGTCCTGCATTTCATTTCATTTCTTAAGTTTCATGCTGAGTCCTTTGACCGACCTCACTGTCCTTAGCAAGCTTTCTATCAAAGCTTCCTAGTTGATGAGTATCTGTGTTCCTTAAAATGTAGACACAATATGTTTGTTAGTAATAGCTGGAATGGCATGACAACCAAGATAAATATCAAACTGGTAACAGTATCGATTATAAACAATCATCTATCACAAGACCACCAGGAAGTACGTCCCTTGGTGCTACTGCATTCTTTGTGCTTTGTCTTGTCAGTCATTACCACTGCTGATGTTAATACTATTTTTAAAAAGTACTGTAACAGGGGACTGTTCACCAAGAATAATCTGCACAGACGGCTGAGTCATCTGTTCTGCTCCAACCCAATCTTCATTAGGTGAACAAGCCTATCATAAATCCTGCTATAATCTCTGGGGTTGCCTGCTTTGTTTGTAGGTTAAGATGCCCTCGCCTTATGGTGGCCATTACACCTTTGCTCCACCATCGCACAACCCAGGGCTACCCACCTCCACCCAACCTCCCATGCCATGCAGCACCCTAGCAAAACCACGGTGATAACAGAACCACCCCAGGGTGGAAGCAGCTTTCTGTCCTGGATAAAACAGTTCCTTTTGCCCAATCATGTCAACATGGTTGAATTCATCAAGGTCATGAGAAGTGCTCACAGCCTTCTTCCTGATGGTAAACAAACACGGCATGGTGCACATGTCCACACCGATTTTGAAAGTGTGTGAGAGTGACCAGGGTGAGGATGGAGTCCCATGTGTGGTGAGTGCCTTTCAGGAGACATATGGAACCAAAGTGTTAATGTGAGACTAGAAAAAAGCAGCTATTCTAGAATTTTTAAAACCCTTTCCAAGAAAAAAAAGGGATGTGACCAGCTGAAGTTGAACAGTTCATCAAACCACAGGTCCCCATGAGATCAGCAGTGTTGCAGCCTAGGAGTCTTAGGAAGCTGTTTTTCTATTCCAGACAAAATAAATAGATCTCAAAATGAGCACACACAGCTTGGGAGACCTTATTATTTAACCTACGTTTTCATGCTTTCAGATTTCGGCAGTTTTCAAATAAAATGTTTTGCAATCTAAGTAGCCAATAAAAATAAATCCTGAAGTTATTTGAATATACTTCCCCTAATCAGAACCTGCAATTTGAACATTCAGGCAGATATAAACTCTCTCTAGGTTCACAGAACCTGCCACTTTTTTTAAAAATTGAGAAATATTTGACATAGAACACTGTATGAATTTACAGTGTACAGATACTGATTTGATACGTTTATCTGACAGTGTGATTGCCACTGCAGTGTGGTGAACACTTCTGACCGGGCATTTGTCTGTGTGGAGGCCAGGAGGCCGGGCTGGGCTGCAGGGACTCTGGGTGTGGAGTGCTTGCAGAACTGGCTGGGGACACACCAGCAGCAGCATATGATGGGAAGTGACACAGCTCCCAGGAAGTTTGGGCACAGAGGAGAGACTAACCCTGGCAGCTGATGGGAGATGCAGAACTAAGTGAGGGACTGGAGCACGTGGAGATCTTGCTTCCAGAAAGCCCACTGAGAGGCAGGGCTGAAGTGCGGGGCTGCCTCCCATTGGAAGAGAAACCCCTTCCCATGTGAGGGGATCTGGGCTTCTCCCACCCACGCCCTCAGCTTGACCCTGGGGTCCACAGTTAATGTTTGGCATTGGTTAAAAATGAATAAATATGTTTGCTGCACAAACACTAATATGCTACTTCACAACATTCCCAGCTCTGTGGATATGACAGAAAAAGGTAGTTAAAACCATAATAATGTAACTTTAAAAAGTCAAAATGAGGATGTAATTTGTGGTGGAATAATAATAAAATTGTGAGTGAACAATAATTTTAATTAAAAATAACAAAAATGGCCCTGGCCAGTTTGGCTCAGCGGTTAGAGCGTCTGCCTGCGGTCCGGAGAGACCTGGGTTCAGTTCCTGCTAAGGGCACGTACCTCAGTTGCAGTTTGTCCCTGGCCCTGGTTGGTCGTGTGGGTGGCAGCCACTCGATGTGTCCCTTTCACGTCCATGTTTCCCTCTCTCTCTCTTCCTCTCTCCCCACCCCACTGTACAAAAAATGGAAAAATGTCCTCGGATGAGGATAAAAAATATATATATATATATTAAAAATAACAAAAATGGCCCAGCCAGTGTGGCTCAGTGGATTGAGCGTCATCACATGGACTAAGAGGTCCCCCATCGATTCCCAGTCAGGGCACATGCCTGGGTTGTTGGCTCCATCCCAAGTAGGGGGTGTGCAGGAAACAGCCAAAGGATTTCTTTCTCATATTGAGTTTTATCTCTCTCTCCCTAAAAAATCAACAAAAACATATTTTAAAATAACAACAACAACAACGTGTGTGAACACGGTAACTTGCTGGTTCATGCCACCTCCACTCCAGGAGGTGACCCACATTTCACCCAGCTCCCCTGCTGTGCTGTCCTGAAGTGGGCATGCCAGGGAATGTCACCCCTTCCCATTTAGGCTTGTCCAGAATCTTCCAGAAGCCCCGGCACCTGCCCATAAAAGTTCTCCAGAGCTTGGACCTCGGCCTGCCGCAGACATAACCGCTGGGCCTGCTGTTGTAATGTCCCACCTCCCATCCCAGGGTGCAGTGCCTGTCCTTAGCCTGGAGGAGCTCAGCCAGGGACTTCTCTGTGCACAGGGCCTGGGCCTGCTCCATACCTTGCTCCTAGTCCCCCGCCTCAACTAGTGGTCTGTCAAGGGAGGCCGGGACCTTATCAAAGGCCCCACTAAAATGCAGAACTCCACAGATGAAAAGGGCCCCTCGGGTGATATGCCACCAGGACATTAGGCTTAATTTGGTCCCAGAAGGTTGGGCAGCAGGAGCCTCAACTGCCCTCGGTGGAGCAGGATGTCCAAGTTCGACCACTTGCTCTTAAGTTTCTTAGGTGCACCAGGTCACAGGAACCTGGGTGTTCTGCAGCTGCCCTTGACTTGACAGCACATCCTTTGAGATTGCACAGAGGTTGGCAGGGGCCCAGGGCACTCTCACTGTTGGTCGGCGGCAGCCCTCCGTGGAGCAGGAAGTCCAAGGTGGAGTGCAAGGGGCAGATCTTGCTCCTAAGGGTCCTAGGAGAACCAGGACAAGGTACCTGCGAGTGCTATTCTGCAGCTGCCCTCAACTGGGTTTTGAGTCTACTGAGAGCTCATGCAGAGATGAGCTGGGGTCCAGGGCACTCTCCTTGTTGACAAGTGCCGGCACTCTGTGGACCAAAAAAGCCGAGCAGGAGTCCAAGCAGCAGACCTTGACTTGAAGGGTCCTAGGTGAATCCAGGCACATGAAGATTTGGCTGCTGTTCTGTGGTTGCCCTTGACTGCATTTTGAGCCCACTGAGAGCTTGTATGGAGGTGGGCAGGAGCCCAGGGCACTCTCGTTATTGGTCAGTGGTAGAAATAGAAGTCCAAGGTGATTTCAGATTTGTGGTCTGGAAGCAGTCCAACGTTGAGAAGTGTCCCAGGTGTTGCCCGAGGCTGCCCTCTGCTGAGTGGGGCATTAGGGACAGGGTACTGGGTTGGAGTCCTCACAATCTGAGGGGTGTCAGAGGTACTCTGCCCACCAGGCAGAGCCAGGTCACAACACTGGAGGTCTGGTCAGGGCCCTCCTCTTTTGTGTGAGGGTCAGTGGACTCAGATTGCCAGCACCCCAGTGTTCCCCCTTGCCTAATGGGGGTACCAGGACAAATGACCTAGCTGGGCTGGCCATGGGAAAGGGTGAGGCACAGGGTTCGAGTCCATAGATTTGGACCACAGAGGGGCAGGAAGGTGGGCACCAACACAAAGGTAGTGCAGGGGGTGGGCGAGCAGGACACCATCCAAGGGGTTGCAGGACAAGGGGGAGATCGAGGTGACCAGAAGGAAAAGCTATAGTGGGAATGCCATCTCTGCTTAGTGTGGACTTGGGCCTCTACCTGGGGCTTTTATAGCCTTGATACTCCACATCAGAGGGCCTGTTCTATGTCCCCTGTTCCTCCCACCCACCCACGTGCCAGGTAGCTCTTACAGGGGCCATCTTGACACCACTGCCCAGAAACCCAACCCCATCCCCTGCTGAGGACCTGGTGCCCATACCAGGCCTTGCCCCTTGCAGCCCCTGGATCCCTCTTCCAATGTAGTCTTCATTGCACAACTGGAGCATGGTGGTAGGGGGGTCCCAGAGCAAACAAGGGGCAGGCTCTTGGTTATGTGGTTGGGTTCTCAGTCCTCCGTACTCCAGGGGTTTCCACAGTGATACCACAGGTTCCCTGGATCCTGACGCTACAGCTGTTCCCTTTATTGTCACCATGGAGACTGACTATAGGATAGGCAGGCTGCAGGTAGCCTAGGGCAAAGACAGAAGAGGGGAGACTCCAACAAGAGGAAGGGTCATCACACGAAAGGTCCAGGGCTGCCCATCTGAGAAGAGGGAAGTGCTGTACCTAGGCAGCACCCCATCACCCCTCCTAAGCAGTTGTCTGCCTCCTCCCATCACTGTGGTCATCACTGAATATTTCAGTCCCACTCACTGCTGGCGCCACTACACCCATCATCATTTTTGATGACTTTTACATCCACAAGTGTGCATGTGATGGCCAGACCCCTCAGGTGGCACCTCGAGGCTGGAAGCCGCGGGAGGGCGATGGAGCAGAAAGGTGGTGACAGGGCCCTCCCTCCCTTCCTGGCACAAATTATCCACACTTCTTCACATGAGAGGAAACTTCCTAGTTGTTGCTATGTTGGCCTTTTGTGCTATGCAGACACAATGACTCAAGACGGCTTCCTTACTCCACAGCTCCCTGGGGAAGGGATCTAAAGGGCTAGCCTCTCCCCATCACCTTCTGTGGTGCCAAGCCTGGGGTTCCTCACCTGCCCACACTTTCAACTTCTAAAGGGCCCTGCTGTTTGGCCACAGCAAATTTTTCTGTTCTCCAACTGTCCCACCCTTTCAGCACCTCTGCATGTGCTCCTCCCTCACCCTGGAGTGTTGGTATCTGACTAGTCCTGCCCATCACTGAGCACTCAGCCATTTCCTCTGGGGTGTCCCTGGCCCCCCGCTAGCTCAGACCCCATGACTTCTTCACTGTCCTGTCACAATTGTAATCACGTATGTGCGGGGAGACCGTCTGATTCATGTCTTCTTTCCGCATGACACTGAGCAAGCTGAAAGCAAGCAGCCCTGTTCACGTTCCCCTCTGTACACCCCCCACCCCAGCCTCAGCACGGTTCCACTACACAGAAGGTGCTCACACAGGCCGAGCTGTGGTCTCATGAGCCTCTGTGTTTCTGCTGCTGTGGGGTCAACGTGTTCTTTGTCAGCGCTGGCCTCAGTCAGGAGGCCCTTGTGTGGATTTTCTGCTCAGCCCTTTCTTTACTGTACAATTTCTGGTGGTGACCACTACAACCCAGAAACTGGGCATGATGGGAGAACCAGCTCCGGGGGCTGTGGAGAGAACCCCAAGAAGAGCACATAAAATGCAAGGCTCCCCTGCCTGCCACAGGCCACCTCCTCACCCATCACAGCCCCAAACCAGATACACAAGAATCCTTGGATTCCCTTTGCCCAGGTCCTTGCTAGCTTGAGGACATTTTTCCACCTTCCATTCAAGGAGGTGGCTGAAGAAAGAGGTTCCAGGGCAATCCACAGCTGCTTCAGTGTCCAGCAGGGGCCAGGGAATGTACAGCAACTGCATCCCATCTTCCTGTCTTCCGGCTGGAGATGCCCTTCCCTCCTCCAGAAGGCACAGGCTGGAATCCTGTGGGGCTGGACCCGGGGGCAAGTGAGGTTATTAGGGGTAATCAGGGTACATGCTGAGAGCTTGAGGTGTGCAGGGATGACTGGGGGCCAGAGGGGAGGACAGTTTATTAAGGAAGAAGTTCCTGAATGAGACAGACTGTGCAGGACTAATCGAAATACAGCAAAGGGAAAAGGAAGCTCTCACAAGGTGCTACGAGCCCTCCCTCAAGGAGCTTTGTCAGCTTCTGAAAGGCTCCATCACTCACTTCATTCAGGACTCTCCTCAGAGAGACCTTCCTGCATAACCCTGCCCTCTTCCTGGCACCTTTCCCTACTGTCTTTCTTTATGACAGCTGTCACTGCCTGTATATAATTATTGGTTTGGCTCACTTGTTGCCCCATGGCTTGTCTTGTTCACAATTATATGCCCAGCACCTGGAGCAATTCCACACAAACTAGAAGCCCAATAGGTATTTTTAAGTAAATAAACAGAGGCTACATATTCATCAAAAAAGACACTTGAGCCTTGGCTGGTTTGGTCCAGCAGGCAGAGCGTCAGCCCACAGACCAAAGAGTCTCAGGTTTGATTCCGGTCAAGGGCACGTACCTTGGTTGCGGTTCGGTCCCCGGCTCTGGTCGGGGTTGTGCAAAAGGCAACCAATTGATGTGTCTCTCATATCTCTCTATGCCTCCCTCCCACTCTATCTGAAAATATATGGAAAACTATCCTCGGGTGAGGATTTATTTTAAAAAGCCAGTAGAGCCCTGGCCGGTTTGGCTCAGCAGTTAGAGTGTCGGCCTGCGGTCCTGAGAGACCCGGGTTCGGTTCCCGCTAAGGGCATGTACCTCGGTTGCAGTTTGTCCCCGGCCCTGGTTGGTTGTGCGGGTGGCAGCCACTCGATGTGTCCCTTTCACGTCGATGTTTCTCTCTCTCTCTCTCCCTTCCTCTCTCTCCCTCCCACTCTACCTGAACAAAAAATGGAAAAATGTCCTCGGGTGAGGATAAAAAAATAATAATAATAAAATAAATAAATAAATAAAAAATAAATAAAAAGCCAGTAGAAACAAAAGTTTTATTGCCTACAAATGAACAGTAATCCCAGTGATGGTGGACTTCTCTTTAGCAACACTGAATATGGCAGGGGAGCAATATTTCCAAGTGCTGAGGGAAAAGAACATGCAGCTAGAATTTTATACCCAGACAAATGATAACACAAGAGTAAGAGAGATAAGTCTATTTCCTGAAATACAAGGATTCCAAAAGTTCATACTCACAGTTGCTTAAAGAACTGTTAAAGGACACACTCAGAAGAAGAAAACTGAATCTGGGATGCAAAAAGCAATGGTGAGCAAAGAAACTACTAACGTTTGCAGTTAAGTTTAAGGGCACCTTAGCAAGTTGCATGATTTTGGTAATAAGGATTTTTTTAAAACAACTATTTGTAACTTTAAAAATCATAATTTTCATTTTAATAACAGTGATGATTTTATTTATTTTTTATCCTCACCTGAGGACATTTTTCAATATTTTGTTCAGATAGAGTGGGAGGGAGAGAGGGAGGGAGGGAGGGGGAGAGAGAGAGAGAGAAACATCGACGTAAAAGGGACACATCCAGTGGTCACCACCCACATGACCCAACCAGGGTCAGGGACAAACTGCAACCAAGGTATGTGCCCTTAGCGGGAACTGAACCCAAGTCTCTCCGGACTGCAGGCCGACGCTCTAAATGCTGAGCCAAACCAGCCAGGGCAACAGTGATGATTTTAAATGATATCAACATGGACGGAGAATGTGAGCAAAGGTCATTGGGAGTAATCTCTCTTTAGCATAGAAGGAGCCTAACAGCAGTGTATCTTATTTAACATCCCCCGCAGTGGCAAGTGCTCACCCTCAGATTTCTACATATGCTGTAAGCTCTGGAGAAAGGTAGGTGAGCTAAAGAAGTCCCAAAACAGGTGTGAGGGATTGATGGTGTCCTCCAAGACATAGGGATTGACTGTGTCCTCCAAGACATGGGGATTGACGGTGTCCTCCAAGACATGCTGACACACTAACCTTCAGGATCTCAGAAAGTAACCTTAACTGGAGATACAGTCCTTGAAAATATAATTAGTTAAGATGAGGTCATACTATAATAATAGGTTGTGTCCTAAATCCAATGTGACTTGCGTCTTTATAAGACCAGAAGAGAATGCCTATCAAAAATGGAAGAAGTAGGAAGAATCCTCCCCTACAGCTTCCAGAGGGAGCACAGTCTTGCAGACACATTAAAAAAACTCATGCAGTTCAATAACAACAACAAATCCAATTTAAAATGGGCAGAGCCTAAGGGCTGGCTGATGGAGTAGCTGCAAACCAGGAGATCCACGGTGCCTCTGAGCACTCTCCCAGGGCCAGACCTGGGAGAACATGGATCTCAGGGACTGCCTTTCATCTCTTTCCCATTACACATGACCACACAACCTACCTGTTGCCCCATGGAGCATGAGCACACAGACCACAGAATTAGACAGCGGTAGAGCAAAACCACTTCAAAACATGGGTAACAAACTGAACACCATATACTAATGCAGGACTGTGATAATGATGAACCAAAACCTGAAAATAAGATGGTAAACACACTAAACAAAATAATAGAAGATATCAATAATATAAAGCAAAATCAATAATGCATAAAAATAAAGAGATAATGTTAGATATTAAAACTAGAACAGTATAAATGACAACTACTGTAGATGGAAAAAGTAGCAGGCTGGATGGAGCTGAAGGGTGATTAGCGAGGTGCAAAGTGACATGAGAGAAGTCCACTGAAAACAGAAAAGAGAGGTGAGCAACATGGAGAACAGAAACAGAAGTGCTGACATCTGTCGAGAAGTCTCTCAATGAGAGAATAAGAAAGAAAAAATATAAATATTTGAGGAAACAATGGGTAATGAATTTGCCAATATTACAGAAAGATGAAAGACCTCAGCATAAAGGACTGAAAGGGTACCAAACAGGAATGACAAGAAAAATTCCTCACTGAGGCTCATTATAATGAGACAAAGAAATATGCCAAAAGCTCGCAGAAAGAAAGAACAGATTGCCTATAACAGAATAACAATCACACTGACATCAGACTTTCAACAGCATCCATGGGTTCAAGAAGAAAATAAAATAATGGTTTATAGTAGTGAAGGAAAATAAGCTTGAACCTAGAACTTTATATATGTCTAAGCTGCTGTTCAAGTGAGATGGCATAATAATGATATTCCTATGTATACAAAGCCTTAGATTACAGCGGTCCTCAGCCTTCCTAATGCCGTGTCCCGTTAATACAGTTCCTCATGTTGCATGTGGGTGTATTTGCATGTGGGTGGACCCTCCTGGAGATGGATAGAGGAGCGGTGTCTCAGTTCCTAAGATGATCGGAAATATGTGTTTTCCAATGGTCTTAGGCGACCCCTGTGAAAGGTCGAGAACTGCTACCTTAGAACAAAAAGACCCATATTGAAAACAGTCTTGGAAGAAGTACTCAAATACAGAGTCAAATCAAGAGGTTACAACAAGGAATATAGGAATAACGGTGCTTTGTCAACAAATGTAGAACCATATTAAAGAAAAGTGTGTGTGTGTGTGTGTGTGTGTGTGTGTGTGTATGTGGTGTGTAACTTCAGATTTTAAAATCTAGACAATATCCACTTGGTGGGGGAATTGATACATACACATACACACAGGTAAGAAGAACTAAGTAGACATTTTCCAAAGAAGACATCCAAATGGCCAACAGGTACATGAAAAAAGCCTCAACATCACAAACCATCAGAGAAATGCCAATCAATATCACAATGAGATATAACCTCATGCCTGTTAGAATGCCTATAATCAAGATGACAGGTATGTGTTGGCGAGGATGTGGAGAAAAGAGAACCCCTGTGTACAGCTGGTGGGAATGTAAATGAGCTACTACGGAAAACAGTATGGAGGTTCCTCAAGAAATCTACAAAATAGAACTACTACCACATAATACAGCAATCCCACTTCTGGGTATATATCCAAAAGAAATGAAAAAAAGGAATAAAAAATATATCTGCACATATGTTTATTGTAGCATTACTCACAACAGCCAAGACAATGGAAACAACTTAAGTGTCCACTGATGTATGAATAAAGAAAAGGTGGTTGGTGTGTGTGTGTGTGTGTGTGTGTGTGTGTGTGTGTGTAAAATGAATATTACTGGGACACGAGAGAGGAGGAAATCCTGCAGTTTATGACAACATGGATGGACCTTGAGAACATTATGCTAAGTGAGATGAGTCAGAGAGAGAGAGAAAGAACGTGTGACATCACTTAGATGTGGAATCTGAAAAGGCTGAAGTAGTTAAACAGGGGCTGGAGGGTGGGGAATTGGGAAGATGATGTATAAGGGTACACACTTGCAACTAGTAGATAAATAAGTCCTGGAGATCTCATACACAGCACAGTGATTACAGTCAACAAAACTGCATTGTAAACTTCAAAGCTGCTAAGAGACTAGATCTTAATTGTTCACACCACAGAAAAGAAATAATAATTATGTGACATGATAGAAGTATTAGCTAATGCTATGGTGGTAATCATATTGTAATATATCAATGTATCAAATCAACATACTGTACACTTTAAACTTACACATTTATATGTCAATTATATCTCAATTTTTAAAAAGAAAAGTAAAATTTCCCTTACCTACTAATTATCTTTAGGAAATATTCCAGCCTCCCTCCCATTTTTTAGTTGCTATGAGGATATAACAAACCATTAAGGACAAAACCATGCACAATGTGCTCACAGCATAAACCCTCTCCTTCTTACCCTGTTCCTCCCTTCCTTTTCCACTCTCACTCTTGTTCCTTGGGTAGCCCCACCAACTATTCAAGACCAGCTGATTTACCCATGCAGCCATCCAAAAATCTCCAGACACTTGGTGCTTAGCCACCTGAATTTTATTCATAAATGAAAAGGAATACAAAAAGGTCAATTTGCTTATTTTTCCTAAATGACAACTATATCCCAGGCCAGTGACAAGGGCAACCTTAGGACCGGTGATCTTTTTAGATTCAGAGCCCTGAGGAAAGACCAATGGTCACACACCAGCACTGTAAGCTGTGGACTGGAGGGTGCCTATCCCACGTCAGTTTCACTCCTTACCTACTGAAAAACAGCACTGCTGTTCGCTGACCTGTCAGTTCAGGGGTGGATCTGAATGAGCAAAGGATAATCCCAAGTGACTGAATCAGGAATGGGCATGTGACCCAATTTGGAACTAGGAAGAGGTTGCTTAAGGTTTCTCACAGATGCATGTAGCCAAATCCAGATACTCTCAGTGTTCGGTAAATGAAAAGATGCAAGTAATCCCTTAAAAAGGATGTTCAGGGAATAAATCATCTCTTAAGCTGGAGATGTACAAGGAAGCAAGCACCTCTTGTTCCAGCAATATCCTACAATCCAACCACAGAAGAGAGAAAAGCCATGAACTGACACACACAAAGGAGGGCATAGCTGAGAGACTTACGGAGAAATAAAGTCTAAAATATGCCCAACCTACTTCCTGACTTCTATTCTAAATGAATAACATTTCTCAATATTACACTGGTACTGTTTCTATAATTAGAAAAATATATATGAGTAATGAAAAACAAAGAAATACAGGCTATGCTCAATGAGAGCTTATCCCTGAAACACTAGACAACAACTCTCTCTGCAATCTTTTGCTGGATATTGGTACACAACCTCCTTCTCATATTTATGTGATTTATTTTTATTAAAATGGAGTCTGTGTCTTTCACCAAATGCTCAGATACTCTAATCACAAGAAGAGTAGGATCAGGATCATAAACAGAGAATGGAAAGGGGATTGGGAGAGAGAATGCCATATTTCAGAGCCGTTCCCCTCCGCCAACCGTTTTCTTCTTTTTAATCATTTATCATCACAGTAATACACTGAACAATTTAAAAGTCATAACCTCTTTAGACAAGGGAAAATGTTTTACCACATTTCACTAAATGAGCTACTTATTGTTTTCAGTATCAAAATTGTCTTAATAACTTACTACAGCCACCTCCCTTCTCCATTATTGTTCAGTTTGTTTGTGCAGATAATTAGTGTTGAGAATGTTAGCTGACATGAAGCCCAGAAGTTTCCAAGAACTAATGTAGGACTATTAGAGGAATTTGATAACATTCCTTCCTGACTCTAACATTAATGATGTAAAACTCTGGCCTAAGAAAGTAAATTTTGCTTCCTCCCTTCTCCTACCTCTTCACCTATCCTAGACCTACACAACTATCTTGTTTCTCCACTCTAGTACCCAGGCTGTTGAATGTGGTAAAAGAAAAACACACACTCGCATAACCAATGAAGGTGAGTGCCACGCACACTCAGACTTGAAATGCATTGCCCCTCTCATCCTGCAGGTCAGCTCCATCGCCCAGCCCCATTCATTCAAGCCCCTATACACAAACCTCCTGGGCTCCACCCTCCTTCCACCTTCCACCTCCTCCACAGGCAAGAACTCCCTCCATGCCCTACCCTTCAGCAGCAAATGTATCTGCACTGCCAACCATCATGACTCCTCCTACACAATAAATAATAAAATGATAGCAACACTCCCAATGCACCTGCCCCTCATCCTATATAGTTGTATGATCCACTTATGCTCTAGATCCCATCTTCTCCTCTTTCTCTTGATCCATTAATCCTTCTCCTCTCCAGCTTCTCTATTATTTCCTTCCCCTCAAAATCAAGTCCCTCAGACTTCCACTTCCAGCCAAGAGAGAGAAACAATGAGATTTACCACTTCACCTGAGACAAGTTAAAAAAAAAAAAAAACATATATAAAACAATGGTTTTCCAGACACTCGACATCAGGCAACAAAAGACAGTGGTGCCTGAAAGGAAATGAATGAGGTGGTAACTGTAACTGCCCTTTGCTTACAGCCTTGAGAGCGTTTCCAAGCTGCAGCACAGGGAGGGGAACCCAGGAGGAGCCTGGTGAACTACTTCAGTTGAGGTGATGGAGCTGAGAGTCTTAAAATACCAACCTGATCAGAATCCACAGGACAGAGTACAGGAGGAGAGAGCGGCCCAGAGGGAGAACTCAAGAGATCTCCAGAGCATCCCGCTCGAGTATTCAGCAGAGTACTTAAGGGCACATGTGTGTAATTGTAACTGGAACCCAAGTTTGGCTGCCTGTTGCTACAAAAACCAAAACTCAATTGACAGATGCTGGTGAAAAAGGAAAGTCGTTTTTTTCAGATGCCAGTCGCCTGAGGAGATGGGGGACTCTTGTCACAAAGCTCATCTCCACATCTCAGTGCAGGCAGAGGTTTTTATAAGAGGGAGAGGCAAAGCAGAACAAAGAAATCAAGAAGAGGGGGTTGAAAACTTCTCTACATGAAGTCCAGTCCAGTCCATTCCAATAAGGACCTCAAAACTGGTCAAGTGATGGTCTGGTGTGTGCCATCCTGGTCTTTGTCATCTGGCTCTACATCATCTTAGTTCTGTGGTTGACAGTCAGCAAGCAAATCTCCCGGAACTGGGATGACTGGAGGTCAGAGTCTGCATCTTCATTAAGTTAGGCCCTGGGATTCTTATACAAACTTGCTGTTTACCTACCAGCTACATATTAGTCAGAGTCAGCATCTACAGAAACAATGTCAGAAGAATGGTGAGGAGCTTACAATTCCCAGTTATGCAAGGACACTTCTGGAAGCTGGGGAAAGACCACCTGAAAGCCTGAAAGAGAACAGTAACCCGAGTTCCCACAGGACTGGGATGTTTGGGGGACACAAACGTTCACTCCAGAGCAGAACCCAATACACACAGAAATACCATAAAGTTAGACCTGTGACCTGAGAATTACCACAAGCCAACAAAATTAAAAGGACAGCACCATTTTATATAGAAACTACTCCATAAATGTTGGTGATATAGGAGTTCATGCAGGGGGTGGCAGACCTGGGGGTAGGGGAAGACTAAGTACTTTCTTAGTGCCAGGCACTAGTGAGATTGATAAGACACGATCCATGCACTTCAATGCCATACAGTAATCTTCAAAACAGGCTCACCATCAACTACCTCCCTGAAATGCTCCTTTTGCTTTTTGCCAGGAGTTTTGCCAGGGTCCCCTCCTTGAAAGGCTTTCCTTCACCACCCTAAAGCTACTCTAGAGTAGAATCCCACTTTCTTTTCTTTATAGTACTTGTCACAATTTTTAATTATCCATTCTTACTATTATATAATTATAATTACTTATTTAGTACTTATTTACTACTACTATTTTCTCACATGCATGTTTAGAATATGAGCTACAAGAGTGAAGAAATTATGTCTGTTGTCTTCACCACTGTACCCTTGGTGACTAGCACAGTGTAGGGTCTCAAATACTGAATTAATGTAAACAAGAACTGTAATCAGGATAAGTTTCCTGATGATCAATATTTCCCAAAGTAGTGAGCCCCAAAATCCCATGATTTGGTTTGCTTAGTTATAAAGGAGTATACTGAGTACTCACCTCTACCTGAGTGACATTGATGACAAGCACCACCACCATCAACACTGCAAGCAGACAGCAGAAAAGCCGTAGTTTAAAGAAACTGATGAACATTATCTGGCTGTGTCTGGATCACCCATGGCTGACACCATGCCACCTTCACTCCTCAAAACACTGTGTCTTTGTTTTTCTGAGCTGCAGGGGAGCTTTCGGTTTCATTTGCTTCTTTTCTGCGAGCATCCTTAAGAGTTCTTCGTATAAAGGAGAAGCTGGGATTGATTTAAGAAGCACATTTTTCTTCAGCGGACTCCTGCAAAGAGGGGAGATAAGAAAACACATCACCAATTGTAACAGCCTGGGATGGGGTAAGAGGAAAGACTACATTTCCTGTTCTTTAACCTTACCGAAAGCCCAAAGTCATGCGAAGAAAGAAACAGCCAAAGCACAGTAACATCTATTCCATATCCAGACAATTTACTGATATCCTACCCCAGACTTCTGTGTAAATGCCATGATGTTGGTCCTGCTAACTATTTAAGTTTTAACTTTTAAAAGATCAAAGAAGATGATCTTTCTCTTAGAAATTGCAAAGTTAAAGTAAGTTAAATTTCTACAGAAGTCTAAGTAAACAAAATAACTCCAATTTCATTATAGTTCAAGTTATATAACATTATTGGAGCAATTATATTTAGAGAGCATTACGAGGGAACATTGTGATTTTATGCGGAGTTCTGGAATACTGTGCAAACCATCCTGACATACTCTGAAAAACAAAGAATGCTGTCCCTCTGTATGGCAGAAGTCAGGAAACACCCTTTGGGTCTCCAGTTTCCTCAACACATATGTGGTCTCCACGCTCCCTCAGCTGAGTAACAAGGCACAGGAAGATGTAGGAGAGGACAGCTAAGAGGAGTGACTGGACACCCAAACCTTCCGCACATCTGTTACAGGCAGAAGTCTTCAGAGTCTGCTACTCCTGTTCTCCCTTGTAATGAATGCAAAATTCTCTCCTAGCTGCTGTTTTAATATAAGTAAGCAGATAAAGTGCTAGTATTTTATTCCTGGCAAGGCTTTCCATGGAGGGCAGGGTGGAGAAGTAAAGGTTAAAAAGGTGAACAGTCAGGATGCAGCTCACGGAATACCTCAGCGCCACTATCGCTCCCTGCAGCTTTGTGTTGGACCTGGAAAGCCCCACATTTTCTCACTCATCTACTCCCCCTAATTCATGCCCATACCACAAGGACCATGACAACCCTTCCTCACCCCAGCTTCACAAAGGAGAAAAGGCTAGGCTATTGTAACATACTCTCCATTCTCAAATCCCATGCCACTTACTGTTTTCACTTCTCAGCTTATCTCTATATTTGTATGTATTTCTTGTCTCCAATTAGACTATACCATTTATGTCTTATTAAAAAAAGAAGCAAAAGACATACATCATTAAGAAACAACTTAATGATAACAATATATCATACCTTTTTTACTCTCCCACAGTACTTAGCTCTTGACATGATATAAGTTGATTCAACATTCTACCCAACAAATAATTATGGAGGCCTATTCTGTACCATACACTGTACTAAGTGCCGGAATTTCTCCTGGAAGTACTCATACTAGGCAAGAAGTAGTTCCCCTCCTAAATTAAAGAGGAATGAATCCACCCTCCTGGCCACTTCCATAGGAATGCCAGGCACTGCGAAAGGCTGTACTTAACCATTTTGTAACCCCCAACACTGCCCCACCCCAACACCCAGGTAACCACCACCCACCCCAAAGTGCCTCTAAATTCTGGGAAGAAAATGGTCGTGAAACAGAGGAAAAAAAAACTCTGTCACCAGGGTGCCAACTGCTCCTCTGGAGAAACCTTCTCAAGGAGTTGGTCATAAGAATCAGATTTCCCACCCTGGACAGTTTGGCTTAGAGGTTAGAGCATCGGCCTGTGGACCAAAGAGTCGTGGGTTTGATTCTGGTCAAGGGCACATACTTCGGTTGGTTTGGCTCCTACCTTGGTCGGGGTCGTGTCGTAGGCAGCCAGTCGATGTGTTTCTCTCACATCTATGTTTCTTTCTTTCTCTCTCTCTCTCTCTCTCTCTCTCTCTCTCTCTCTCTCTCCCTTCTTCCCTTCCTCCCACTCTATCCGAAGATAAATGGAAAAAAATATCCTCAGGTGAGGGAAAACAAAAAAAAAGAATCAGGTTTCCCTGATGGCCAGAGAAGACAACCAGAGGTAAAACTCTACAGGAACAAGCTGCACCATTGTAGGCATAGCCTATGTACAGTGTGGTTCGGAGCTAGTCAGCAGCAGCAGCTGTGGCCAGTGGTGTAGGAGGATGGCAAGGGCAGCAGACCCAAGAGCTAGAGAAACTGAAGGGCTATAGGCAGCAATGCAAATACGCAAGAGGCCCCCCAGGGCCAGAGACTTCTACGGAATATCAATATGGAGGATCATGCCAAGAAAAGACCTGACTTCCTGCTATGAGCAAGTAGAGCATTAAATATGAATGACCATTTGTATATCTAACTAGATGTAGCCTGAAAAGAACCAAACAGACCTCACTCTTTTTAAAAATATATATATATATATTTTCTTTATTGATTTTAGAGAGAGGAAGGGAGAAGGAGAGAGGGACAGAGACATCAATGAGAGAAAATACCAAGTGGCTGCCTCCTGCATGCCCCCTACTGGGGATTAAGCCCACAACTTGGGCATGTGCCCTGACCAGGAATCAAACTGGTGACCTCTTGCTGCATGGGTTGATGCTCAACCACTGAGCCACACCAGCCAGGCCAAACAGACCTCTCTTTCAAAACACATATACTGCCCTGGCAGTTTTGTTCAGTGGTTAGAGCATCAGAGCATCAACCTGCAAAGCAAAGAGTCACAGGTTTTATTCCAGTCAAGGGTACATACCTTGGTTGCAGTTCAGTCCCCAGCCCTGGTTGGGGTCGAGTGGGGAGCAAACAATCAATGTGTCTCTCTCACATCAGTGTCTGTCTGTCTGTCTGTCCCTCCCTCCCTCCCTCTCTTCCTCCCTCCCATTCTGTCTGAAAATAAATGAAAAAAATATCCTCAGGTGAGGGAAAAAAAAGAAAACACATATACTAAAATATTGACAGTTGTTACACTTGGGAAGTTTTTGTTTTTCATCTTTATCTTTATGCCCTAATTCACTGGGAAATAAAAATCACAAATACCAACATAAAGCTGGTTTCTAAAAGTAATAACTAGGATCTGAAAAATGGTGGTGGAGTGAATGGAAGCTACACAGACCATCTCCCAGGACCAAACTGGATTTACAACGAAAATAAAGACAAGTCATCAGAAAAAGCCAACTGAAGAGCAGCTGGAGAAAACCTTATATCCAGGGATGGAAAGAGGATGCCAAATCTAGCCTGGTAGGAGCTGGGAAGTGCCAGAGGGCTGGCTGGGTGCTCACAGCAGCAACTGAGGGCTATCTTAGCTCTGAGAAGTTCCCTCTGAGAATTCAGGGGTTAAAACTCCAAGATGGCTCCACAGCACAGAGTGGTGGAGCAGGGAAAGGTTCCCATATAACATGTGGCTGAGGAACTCACCAGAGCAGAGATGGGAACATTGGCATTTCCCTGAAGGGCCAGAGCACTTGTCAGCTACAGCCACTCACCTTGCACTCCAGCAGAGAGAGGGCAGACTAGACTGGAACTGTGTGAAGAGAATCAGGGGTTTGTGGCACTGGGGAGAGAGCTGGGAGGAACACCAGGAGTTTTATACTGAATCACCCCCCACAGGACAGTAGCCACTTTACTCAAAGAGCCCCTTCCCAGAGCCCTGGGAGAAGCAACAGCCTCTCCCTCAGGAATTTAACACTATCCGGCTGGAGAAATGCAAATTGAGACTCATTAACAGCTAGAGTCTACCAGAAAGCAAGGAGGGGAGAAAAAAGCCTCCTGAAATTTGGACCAGGCTCACAGTGTTAGGGGTCCTGGCTCTAAGGACAAAGCTGTGAAGGATGGATCCTGAATTCCTATGCTGAGCCCCTCCTCCATGGTTTCAATAGCCATCTCTGTCAAGTAGCCCTCCGTTTTAGCCTGGGGGAGAAACAACTGCACTCCCTCAGGAATTGAACACCATCCTGTGGCTACGGGGACTGCACTGAGCCAATAATCCACACCCCAGAAACCACTTTCTTATCAAAGCCACTTTAACACAGAGGAAACCAATTGCCCAACACTCTGAAAATCCTCTTACCCTGTCCACCTGAGTGATTTTTCATTCAGCTGAGAGCTACAACGGGAGGCTCATAAAGTAACTGAGACTAATAGCCTGCAGGCAAAAGCTATTGGATAAGTGAATCTTTGCTTGATCGGAGAATCTACCCAGAAAAGTAAGACTTGACATTGGTGTTCAATGTGGGCCCTCCCACACTCATCCAAACCCAGTAGAGGGAGTCACAATCAGCAGAACACTAACAGCCACAGGGAAAATTTGGCAGGCTCCAAAACCCCTGAAACAGCCAAACTGGTGAAACAAAGAAACAAATCCCAAATGAAAGAACAAGAGAATTCTACAAAGAAGAGATAAATGAAATGGAATTAAGCAAGTTATCAAAGGTAGAGTTCAAAGTAACGATTACGAGGAAGCTCAACAGTATGAGTAAAGAACTCAACAGCATGAGTAAAGACATAGAAACAATGAAATCAACCAATTAAAAATGAAAAACCATCAAGCAGAAATGAAGAATGACATAGCAGAAATAAAGAACACACTGGAAGGAATAACCAGCAGAGTAGAGGAAGCCCAGGATCAGATCAATGAATTAGAAGACAGGGTAGAAAGAAATCACCCAGTCAGAGAACCAAGAAGAAAAAACAATTAAAAAACAGGAGGACAGCTTAATAGAACTGTGTGACAATATGAAACGTAACAACATCTGCATCATAGGAGCTACAGAAGAAGAAGAAAATGAACAAAGGTTAGAGAATATATTTGAAGAAATAGTGACAGAAAACTTCCCTACCATGGTGAAGGAAAAAGGCATACAAGTTCAAGAAGCACAGAGATTGGTGAGGGTGTGGAGAAAAGGGGACTATAGTACACTGCTGGTGGAAATGCAGACTGGTGCAGCCACTATGGAAAACAATATGGTGTTACCTCAAAAATTAAAATTGAACTTCCATTTGACCCAGTGATCCCACTTCTAGGAATATACCCTAAGAAGCCTGAAACACCAATCAGAAAGAATATATGTACCCCCATATTTGTAGCAGCACTATTTACAATAGCTAAGATCTGGAAACAGCCCAAGTGTTCACCAATAGACGAATGAATAAAAA